CATAGAGAACATATTAGCATCTTTGTAAATACCAAGAACCGTACTGTGAGCTGATTGGTACTTAAGGGGTTCATGCAAGAAGCTTTGCATGGATCAAAACAGAATCCTCATAACAAAAGTAGCTTTTTCAAAAAAGACATACTCACCATTCAGATTATGTCAGTTTTAGTAGAAAGGTAGAAAGTTATAGTGCTACACAGAACATGTACTGCTGTCATATATGTCAAACATAGATATTTAGCAGAGAAGCTGAAAACCATCCAATCAAACATGGATATTTAGCCCAGAAGCACAAAACCTTCTAGTCAAAAATGGATATTTAGCACAGAAGCACAAAACCCTCTAGTCAAAAATGGATATTTAGCCCAGAAGCACAAAACCCTCTAGTCAAAAATGGATATTTAGCACAGAAGCACAAAACCTTCTAGTCAAAAATTTATATTCAGCACAGAAGCACAAAACCCTCTAGTCAAAAATGGATATTCAGCACAGAAGCACAAAACCCTCTAGTCAAAAATTGATATTTAGCACAGAAGCACAAAACTCTCTAGTCAAAAATGGATATTTAGCACAGAAGCACAAAACCCTCTAGTCAAAAATGGATATTTAGCACAGAAGCAAAAACACTCTAGTCAAAAATGGATATTCAGCACAGAAGCACAAAACCCTCTAGTCAAAAATTAATATTCAGCACAGAAGCTAAAACCGTCTAGTCAAAAATGGATATTTAGCACAGAAGATAAAAACAATCTAGTCAAAAGTTGATATTTAATACAGAAACTGAAAACTATCTAGTCAAACATGGAAATTTAGCAGTGAAGCTGAAAACCATCTAGTCAAACATGGAAATTTGACAGAGAAGCTGAAAACCATCTAATGGCAGCAGCATAGTGTTTGCAGAAAAGAATATTATGAAAGGACAGAAAAACACACAAGAAGTTCTCCACGAAACAGATAAATGTAGTAAACTGATCAGAGAAATAAAACGATTGAAATAAACTGAGGAGAGGGGGGTTTGGTCATGTTATGAGAAGAAGTAAACAAACACTAACATTTATTAACAACTGGCAGATTTGATGAGGCAAATGACATAAACAGACACTCTGACAACTGGATGGCTTGACCGTATTGTATGGGTGTGACAAGAACACTGACCTCGTCTGTGATTCTGGTGAGAAGGGGAAACCATAGTCATCTATGATTGGTGACATGACAGACAATATATACATATAAATATACACAAAAACAACATTTGTCTGTATATCTTGATTATCTTACATTATATAAATTATGGATAGTCTAATCTGTGGTTTATAAGTACTCTAACAGTGCTGAGGTTATGAATATTGCAACAATGTGCGTAATAAGATGTTATATGTAGGTCAAGAACACTGACTTGATCTGTGGTTTTATTGATTGTGTTAAATGGAAATCCATGACATCTGTGCTTGTTGGAATGGTATTGTGTGTGTGTGTATGTGTGTGTGTGTACACATGTATACACATGTGTTTGTGTATGTGTGTGTATATATATATATATATATTTATATACATAATATATACATATATATATATATATATATGTGTGTGTGTGTGTGTGTGTATTTGCACATGCACAGACATATGTGTGTATATATAAGTGTGTATAAAAATATGTGTTTGTATATATGTGTATACACACGCTTATATTTATGTGTGTGTATATATATATATATATGTATATATATATGTGTATATACATATATACATACACACACATACATACATACTTACACATAAATGTGTGTATTATATATATATGTTTATATACACATACATACTTAGGCATTCGCAACAACTAAGCCACAGATGCTGACCTGAATATATAACGCTGCCATTGTTATAGGGTTAACAAACGTGAATATTTAACACTAACGTTATTGTAGGTCTGACAACTATGTGAATGTATAACACTGACATTCTTGTAGGTCTGACAACTATGTGAATGTATAACAGTGACATTATCATAAGGTTAAGAACCATGTGAAAATACTTTATTTACTTGTGTAATGGCCACTTCATTTTAATTAAATATTACAAGTAGTAGATAAATAAAAAATGGTGTACTTTTATTTGAGGTATTAGGGCCTGTATTTGACTTGTACAAAATTTAATAATAAACAATACACCATTTGGAAACATACCTTATGAAAACAATACCAGCAATTGATGCTACTGTTGTCTGCCACCTAATGATAAGGTTATTTCGCGCCACAAAGCACCTTGCCCAGCCATAACTGGCTTTAAATTCACTCTGAGGAATTCCAGTGATGTCTGATAATTGATACGCTTCAATCTGTAACATTTCCACCAATACAAAAAAACCCATCTCCCTGTATTGTCTTGACAAATAATAGCAGGCTGGTTTCACCTTCACTTTCTTGGCAGGAAACAGATTGTTAACTTTAAAATGGTTTTTTTTTTAAGAACAACTTTCATTCCAATCCATCTTCACATATTTTTTCTCACCCACATCAAACCTCCTCCTACTGTTCGGTTACCATTTTCTTGTGCATAACACACTACTTGCAACTTTAATTTACAACTTTAACCTGCTCTCACCTGTCCTATCTTTCATTGTTTACAGGTGCTACTGATTCAGTATTGGTCTCTCCAAAAAGTTCTAAGACAATTATTTTTCCTAAATATATTGTCCCAGAAACAAGGTATGGTCTATACACATGTAAGTTTAGTATAACACTGACCTATTCATAGGACTGACAATCGTGTGAACGTATAACACCACCTTTTTTTTTTTGGTAATAGTTGACAAACATGTGATTATATGACACAAACATTATTTAATGATGACAAACATGTGAAAATATGACATTATTACTTGAACAAGGTTGACGAACCTGTGAAAAGATATTACACTAACATTATTATAGGGTTAACAAACATATGCATAGATAACACAAAAAATATTATAAGGTATACAACACATAGTCTCAAAGTGCTGCAGGTAAAGTCATATCTTAAGACTAGCTGCAAACAAGAAGCACCTCCTGTATGATGCCCAGGTAGAGCTACGGGTCACAGACTGAAAATAGGAAAGTCTTGGATGGGTTAAGGTTAAGACACAGTTAGACATGTGTGCAGACTTAACAATACTGAGTGAGGAGAGGAGTAAGTCAAAGTGTCTAAGCAGCAGTCAGATTTGTATATATGTTCTGGTCACATTAGGCCTTAACTGGAGGGGTCTGCTAGCGGGTGCTGAAGAATTAGAAGTTCAACAAATGATTCATGCAAATTCTGACTAGTTGATGTGATTATTTGTACAAATGGCTCTGTGCTGAGAGGCAGAAGCAATGCATGGGGGTTCATATCAAAAGTGAATGGGCGTTGCATGGTGCAGCAAAGCCTGCAATATCATATCACAACACCTGGCTTGAGAATAGAGGTGGAGGCAGTCACTGCACCCTTCCACTGGTATCAGAACCTGCTGCACACAAATACTGAGGTTGTAACTGACTCACAAAGCATGCTGAGAAAAGTGGAGACAAGTATGCTCCGCGCAAGTGGCAAGCATTGTCTCAGAGGTACGAGGTAGTTAGCATCATTTAAATATTGTCTGCAGGCATGCAAGTGTGTTGGGTATGAACAGGGGGATAGACTGGCTGGTTATGCACCACTAGGGGGTAAATTGATGCTCAACAAGCTAAATGTCGTAAGGGTACTTTGGCAGTGAGTTCAGAGTGGAGAGGCACAAATAAAACATCACTGACTGATGAAGAGAATGGTGCAACAAGCAATGACTAGGAGATATACGGCTGAGGCTCCACTCTTAGGGAGAGGGGTGAGACAGGCATAGTATGGGTGGGGCAAACATACACTAACATTGTTTCTGGTAACATCTGAATTGAAACTCTGTGCTTGCTGCTGAAGACGCGAACAGAGTTCTTATCCGAATGTTCCTAGTGCTGTGGTGTCAGTTATTTACTCAAAACTAATACTATAAGGTTGATAATCAAGTGAATATATAACATTAACATTGCTACAGGGTTGGCAAACATGTAAATATATATGACTAACATTAGTATATGGTTGACAAACATGTAAATATATAAGACTAACATTATATAGGGTTTAGAAAAGTGCGAACCTGAACATATATACAACAACATTACTTAGGGGTTGACAAACATAAGAATAAATATCATTGCCATAGTAATATGAATATGTAAAATTAACTTTTATCAAAGTATAACAAACATGTGAATATTTAACATTAACGAATATAACAGTATTGACAATCATCTGAATATGAAACACTCTATTATCACAGAGCTGACAAACATTGGAATATATAACAACAATTATGGTATAGTTTTGACAGTCAAGTGAATACGCAATATTACATTATCATAGGGTTGAAAAATGTGAACATAAAACATCTTAACTTTTTATCAAGAGGGATGTGAAAAATGTCTAATTCTAAGCCAGGTCTTAACTTTGATATTGCAGGCTGTAGCAATGTTAATGACACTGGCAACAGTGCAACAAAATATAACGATAACAGTTCAAAAGTAAAACTGCGACCTGACAGACTTTTAGGGTATAGATAGGTTTTGACAAACTTTAAGGGTGTAGCTCATGACTGACAAGATTTAAGAGGATCCATCATGACTGACAATGTTTTTAAGGGTATAGGTCAGGCCTGATTTACTTCAAAGGTGAAGGTCAGGACTGACATCTTCAAGGTTATAGGTTAGGACTGACAGACCTCAAAGTGGTCAGGACTGACAGACTTCAAAGTTATAGGTCAGGACTGACAGACTTCAAAGTTATAGGTCAGGACTGACAGACTTCAAGGACATAATTCAGCACTTACAGACCTCAGCGGTATAGGTCAGGACTGACAGACTTCAAGGGTATCATTCAGGACTGACAGACTTCAAAGTTATAGTTCAGGATTGGCAAGACTTCAAGGGAACAGTACAGGACTTCAAAGGTGTAGGTCAGGATCCACAGACTTCAAAGATATAATTCAGGATTAGAAAGAATGGCAGACGACACTGTGTGACCTTAAACACTTCGTTTCTGATGGACATTGCCAAAAGAGAGTCCATGCCCAGGTTTTGCAAGGCTGAGTCCGGTTGCAACAAGGACTTATCAATTCCGATGATCTGTGCTGCCAAAACAACCAGCAGGCCAATGTAAACATGGATTCTGTCCTGCTGTGGTAGTTGTGGGGCCGTGTGTAGGGCCTGACGAAGTTCCTCTGTGACAGGCATCTCATAGGAAGCTGAACCATGTACAGTAATAAGTTGATCCCTTCGCCATTGTTCTTTGTCAAAATTGCAGGCAATGATCTGAGCAAAGTCCAGCAGGAGGATAGGATTCATCATGGACTTAATCTCTTCTTCTGTGAGAAGTTTCATTCCTTTTTCTGTTAGACTTTTTTTGGCCTTTTCATTGTTTGCCAGCATCCCAACAGTTAGTGCGCCCCAGTTGATGCTTTGACCTGGCAGATTTCTATGTCTTCTGTAACTGGCCAGGCCATCAAGAAAGGCATTTGCAGTTCCATAGCTGGTCTGTCCAAAGTTTCCTATAATAGAGGTAGTTGAAGACTGAAGGACAAAGTAGTCCAGAATGTTGCCTTCAGTCAACAAATGCGCATTCCACGCACCTAAAACTTTAGGAGTTAAAACACGTTCCATACTTTTTCTAGTGACATTATTGAGAACTGCATCGCTTCCAAAAGCCGCTCCAAAAAAGATCCCTTTTAGAGGCTTGTTGGGAAATTCTGAGGTTATTGTGACATTCAGAAACTGTGAGAATGAATCGATGTCACAGACATCACACGGGAACCATTTAATGGTGGCTGATGTTGACAGACTCAGCTTCCTTATTTCGATGTTCTTGTCTACACCTGGTGCAGTTCTGCTTAAAATAGCGATATTACCTGCCCCTTGCGAAGTCAGGAGCGTGACGGTAACCCAGCCCAGTCCTGTCAACCCACCCACAACAATGTACACGGCGTCTCGTTTAAACAAGAAATGATGGTCAACTCTGACACTTGATCTATTGACCTTGACAGTTTGGACTTTGAGCAGGTCATTGAGGTCAGCTGGTACTTCAGGAAATCTATGAGTCAGTCTGTCCCCTCCTCTCAGACATTTGGATACCTGAGATCTCTGACAAGACAAAAACTCTTTCACTTTTGGAATTAACTCCAGTAGTTTCCTTGGCTGAAAGATCTCAGACGGGTCCTTCACGATGACATCTACATGTGGTAAGTGGAAGCTCATAAGGGACTTTACATGTGAACTTACAAGAGGCGCCACTGTGATAAGACATTCAGCTTGGGGCCAGTGTTTTATCAGGATTTCTATCAGGCTGCTGTCCAACAGAACCAGTGATACAACTGTATGATGTACCCGCTGCCCATTTTGTAATTGTTCTTGAGATACACATTCAATGTTTCTTGTCTGGTGAGACATGTCTTTGAAAGTCAACATATCCTGAAGAATCTGGCTGAATCCTCTTGTAGATGATGATGTAAGGATTGTAATGGAGCTACCTTTGATGTAGTCAGACAGGGACATCAGCAAAGAGAGCGTTGTGAGGTCACCATGTGAGTAATCCTCGAACATCTCCCTTGGTATAGTAGCTTCAGCAGGCACTGAGATATGGGATCCGACAGGAGATGGGTAACATGAGATAATTTCATGTTGACCTCCATCTATACCGGTGTCGTCTTGTTTCCCTGTTGTTTCTAGAACAAAGACAACGCAGCCATTCCCCAAGTGTCCCCTGTGTGGCACCATGGTGCTGTAGGGTACTGACATACTAAACAATTTTGGATGAAACAGAACTGTTTCGATCACATTGATCAGTAAGTGGTCTGTACTGTTGTCGCGTTTTTCACTTTCGTCATAAACACAGAATCTGTCAGCAGAGCCAAAAGGTCCAGTCGACACTTGCAGGACATGCTTGTGCATGTCCGCAGAGATGTGCCTGAAGACTGGAACTATGTTGCTGGAAAGTGGAATGATCTCATGCACGAACATCTCACTGTCTGTGACCAGCCACTCACTGAATCGTTGCAGGTGCTCATTCTTGTAAACAAAGTTAGAGATAGAAGTCAGACGATCCAGAGAACACTGTGACCGTGGCAAGTGGAGGTCAAACACAGAAATGTTTGCGGCCTGTTCCTGGAGGGCACTTCTGATCATTCCCCAGACTGAGGTCATTACAGGGTTGATGTTGTCCCTGTTGGACGATGAATATTCAGCAGGGAGGGCCCATCTTGTAAAAACATGAACCGGGATTTTTAGAGGTAAACAGAAGACACTTTTCAGGGCCATGCAGAGGTTTACAATCTTTGACTGGATCATTGCTGCTTCTGCAGATTCATCAAACGTGAAACTAATGTTGAAAATAATCAAGTGGAACGAGCCTAGAATGTGGTTTCTTGATAGCATGTCCAATTGCTGCGTGACTGTGTCACTGTAGTCTTCATCGATACTGTATTCAATACTTGTCACCTCAGGAGGCACAGATTCATTGCTCATGTACAGAATCTGTGAATCTGTTTGTTGAGTGTATGGGTAGTCTGGTACTTTCATCACCCAGTGACTTCTGGAGATGTGCTTTGTGCTGTGTTCATCCTTGCTGGTCTCTGCAGACAAGAATTTCAGGGTGAGATCCTCCATGTCTACAATGATGTCTCCATCCAGTGTTGTCAGCTTGCTGTCGAATATGACAATGTCCCCGTACCTATCCTTGACTTTCGTGTAGACGAACATTTGCTTGTCAAAAGTTCTATAAGGTGTAACTTTTCCTATGGAGATGGGAAGAACTTCTTTCTTGTTTTCATCCTCCATCACTATTATATATGTCTGTATCATGGCATCAAGAATTGACGGATGAATTGTGGTACAAGGTATTTCATGAAATAGTCCATCAGGAACTATCACAACTGCAATGCATTCATCAGTATTTCTTTTTGCACTATGCAAAAGCTGGTACATAGGGCCATAATGGAATCCGAACTTGACCAGTCCATTGTAAATGTCCAGTTTCCCCAAACTTTGTGAACATCTAATTTCCAATTGTGGGATGTTTATGGCTGGGTGATCCTCTAAAGCAAAGAGGGGATGCAGTTGCAGTGTTGCATACAGTGTCTCCTGTTGCAGGACATCTATTCTGTAGCTCTTAGACAGACATTCTGAACTCTGTGTTTGTGGTGAACTTATGTCCAAGTTAAATACCACAGGTGTTTTATCTGAGAAGCGACATGGCTGCTCGAAGGTTGCAGAGACTGAGTAATGGGCAGCGTCTCTAAACTGCATCTGTTTGCTGATCGCAAATCCAATTTCAGTGTAAACTGCTCCAGGAACGATGAGACTGCCTGCCACGTTGTGGTCAAAGACTGATGGGAAAGTTGCCATTGACAAGAAAACCTTGTATGTGTTCGTAGACTCAATGTTACATACATAGGGGTGTCCTCGTTTCAAGAAGTTGATTCCTGCCATGATCATAGATGATGTTTCTGAACTGTGTAAGCATCTTCTGAGGTTGAAGCTGTAGCGGGGAACTTCTGTCACCAGATTTCCAGACGAGGGTAGATTGTTCCAGTCCATACTGCAGCCATGTGTGTAAGCTTTAGCTAGTGCTTCCAGAAATGTTTTCCAATTTCCCTTGGAGCGCATGGACACAACCACCTCGACATTCTTCCCGGGAAATATGTCATCCTTGTGAGCGGTCATCATTGGTTTAGATCCGACTTCTATGTACACAGTGTTGTCCCCATCCTCAAACGACTTCCTTACAGCGTCCAAGAACTGCACCGGTTCACGGACATTGTTGGCCCAATATTCACTAGTCAAGGGACCCTCCACCATATCACCGGTTACTGTAGAGATCATCTGAGTCTGAACTCCTGGTGGACAAAGTCCGACACCACTGAGTGCCTGTCTGAGTTCTGGCTTACAGCTGTCCACACAGTGGCTGTGGTAGGCTATAGGAAGCTTGAGGTCAATGATTGTAATCGACAAGTTTTGGTTCTTTGCCATTTTCTTGATTTCTTCCTCCACATCAACTACAGCTTCTATCTCACCACTGACCGCACATGCCTTTGGGCTGATTCTAGTGGAGACATTTGCCATGCCTGGCCACTTGCTGACAATCTCCTCAATCGTTTCGATGTCCACCCCTTTAAACAAGATCATCCTGCCCACTCCAGCAAGTTCGGCCAGGAGATTAGTTCTGTAATAGATGACTTTGATGGCGTCTGGCAGTGACAGGCGTCCAGCAACTTGAGCAGCAGCGACCTCACCCACGGAGTAACCAATGACACAGTCTGGGGTGACACCCAGACTCATCCATAGATGAGCTGTTGCTATCTGACAAGCACATATTGCAATCGGCCAGAAAATCTCGTCATTTGTATCCTTCTCTGTGCTTAAGCGATTTTCAACCGACCATGGAACATACTCCTTCAGATAATTGTCAATTTCCCTGATCTTATCTCTGAAAACCTTGCTGGTAGACATGTAGTCTCTGCCCATGCCAGCCCAGGCAGTCCCCATTCCACTAAAGACAAACACAATCTTTGGCTTTCTGGCATCTGTGGAATCATGCTTGACCTTCGTCATTTCATCCACCACTTGGCCTAGTAAACTCTCCGTAGTGTTGGCCACGAAAGCCTGGCGTACAGGGAAGTGGTCGCGATGTTTGGTGGACGTCAACGACAGGTCTTCAATATTCATGGACTGTACGTTTGGATAATTAATGAAGTCTTTCATGCTGCCCTTGAGTGACTCCATGTTCATTGCAGAAAAACAGACGATACTCCCTTGTTTTATGCCATGTTTGATAACTCTTTGTTGAACATGACTTATGAGCATTGCAGGACGATTCATGTCATGTTCGGTACTTCCCAGCTGTTCAGGACTCTCGATGATTGCGTGGCAGTTTGTACCACCAAACCCAAAAGAACTGACACTGGCAACTTTGTGTACATCTGGCCAATCTGTTAATACTGTGGGAACTTTCAGTTGGTAGCCAGAAAAATCTATGGCTGGATTTGGTCTCTGGAAATGCAGAGAAGGCACAATCTTGGAATGTTTCATCATCAGTAGAACCTTTATCAGACCTGCCACCCCGGCAGCAGATTCCAGATGCCCAATGTTTGTCTTCACAGAGCCAATGTACCGAGACCTCTCCACCTGGTTTCTCTTCAGAAATGTGCCCAGGGATTTGACTTCAACGACATCACCGACAGGTGTCCCAGTTCCTGTAATAGAGAGAAAAGATAATAAGAGGATAAATAAGAAAAATATGTACTAGTAAATGGCCTTTTTTATAAACAATGCATCTGAACTGACTTCAACGACATCACCGACACTGATACAGACATATTATTGACCATCCACCACTCAGACAGATCAATTATTGAGCATTCACCACTGATACAGACAAATTATTAAGCCTCCACCACTCATACAGATATATTATTGACCATCCACCACTCAGACAGATAAATTAGTGACCATCCACCACCGATACAGACAAATTATTGACCATCCACCACTCACACAGATAAATTTTTGAACATCCACCACTCAGACAGACAAATTGTTGACCATCCACCACTCATATAGAGGTACTATTACCCCATCCATTAAAACACAAACTATTAAATCTTAACCACTTATACAGATAAAAGTAATGAACCTTAACCTTTCATACAGATTAAAAATTGAGCATAGACCATTAGTAGAAATGGATTAACCAGACCACTCCTACAGATAAACTAGTGAGCTTCAACTATTGACACAGACAAATTATTGAGCCTCCACCACAGATTCTAACAGATTAAATATTGAGCATAGACCATCAATAGAAAAAAATAAACCAGACCACTCCTACAGATAAACTAGTGAGCTTCGACTACTGAAACAGACAAATTATTGAGCATAGACCATCAGTAAAAATAAATAAACCAGACCACTCCTACAGATAAACTAGTGAGCTTCAACTACTGACACAGACAAATTATTGAGCATAGACCATCAATAGAAATGAATTAACCAGACCACTCCTACAGATAAACTAGTGAGCTTCGACTACTGACACAGACAAATTATTGAGCATAAACCATCAATAGAAATGAATTAACCAGACCACTCCTACAGATAAACTAGTGAGCTTCGACTACTGACACAGACAAATTATTGAGCATAGACCATCAATAGAAATGAATTAACCAGACCACTCCTACAGATAAACTAGTGAGCTTCGACTACTGACACAGACAAATTATTGAGCATAAACCATCAATAGAAATGGATTAACCAGACCGCTCCTACAGATAAACTAGTGAGCTTCGACTACTGACACAGACAAATTATTGAGCATAAACCATCAATAGAAATGAATTAACCAGACCACTCCTACAGATAAACTAGTGAGCTTCGACTACTGACACAGACAAATTATTGAGCATAAACCATCAATAGAAATGGATTAACCAGACCACTCCTACAGATAAACTAGTGAGCTTCAACTACTGACACAGACAAATTATTGAGCATAAACCATCAATAGAAATGGATTAACCAGACCACTCCTACAGATAAACTAGTGAGCTTCAACTACTGACACAGACAAATTATTGAGCATAAACCATCAATAGAAATGAATTAACCAGACCACTCCTACAGATAAACTAGTGAGCTTCAACTACTGACACAGACAAATTATTGAGCATCCAACAAGCATACAGCTAAACAGGCAAACCCAGCCAACTCATACCAATTCCCTCCTGAACAGAGACCATTCATACAGATATATAATTGAACCTCCATTACTCATACAGATATATAATTGAACCTCCATTACTCATACAGATACTACTTATATTAACAAACTATTAAACCTAAACAGTTCATACAGATAAACTATTGAAGGTGAGCTTCTTCTTCTGCCTTCTAACCCTCCAATCGAGCATAGGCCCTCAACCAGCTCACGCCAAGTCATTCTATCCTTTGCGAATGCATGCAGCTCTCCCCATGTTCTTCCCATCTTTTCAACTTCACTCTCTAGCTCTCTTTTCCATGTAGTTTGTTTTTATCTTCTTTTCTTTAACTCTTAGTCCACTGGAACTTGTTTAGTTCTCTCCCAAAGCTCTACATTAATGGTTCTATCATAACATTTAATTTCCTAAATTCTGTGCAGGCACCGGTTAGTGAATCTTTGATGTTTATTGTCTTAGCTGTTCTCCATGTTTCCGCTCCATACAACAGTACTGATTTGACATTCAAATTGAATATTTTAAGCTAAGAATTAAATTTTATTAACTTTTGATCTCCACAAATTCCCTAGAGCTATCAAACCTCCTCTTGCCTTTGGTATCTGTATTTCAATATCTATCAGTTTCCCCATCTTTATCTACCTTACTGCTAAATAGGTGTACGACTCTACGTCTTGAAACGGGATGCCATTAGGAGAAACTACATTACTATTTGCCTGATTTTTCCTTATTATTTGTGTCTTTCCCATATAAATTTTTAGATCTAGCTGTTGTGAACTTGCATTAAGTATATTTAATTTATCTTGCATCTGATTTCATGAGTGGGACAGAAGAGAAATATTATCAGTGAAGTCCAGATCCAGTCCCCAAATGGTTTAAAAATTAACCAAGCTTTACAAACAGGCTCGTATTCCTTCAATTACAGAGCAGAAGAAGCACTTCTAGTGGCATGTACTTTCCTGAATGGTCAACAGCACAACAAATAATCACAACAAAGTGATCTCTCTGACCGATGCTATGTCAGTTCTACATGCAACTGTCAACCCTAAATACACGCAGCTTGTAGCCTTGACGCAACAGCTGATTCACTCAGGCTTTTCAGTAGCCGTCTGATTGGTCAGAAGGGGCAGTAACCTGGTACAACCAAACAGTGACATAACCCACCAAGAGACTAAGACATGAATACAATCTAGTATCCAAGAAAAGTGGCTGGATACACACACCAAATTCTCTCCTCTAGACTCGCTTCATCATATCTCTAGAGAGAAAGGAATGTATTATGTTGAGACTAATGACAGGGTACAACAGACTTTGTCAACATATGTTCAAACTTCTCAGTGTAGAAAACACGGATTTATGTTCCTGTAGCGCGGCACCCGAAAATGCTGAGCATGTGTTCCAACAATCTCAACTGTATGCTGACAAAAGAGATGCAATCTGGCATGTTCCAACCACAATTAAGACAAAGCGGTGTGGTACACGAGAGGATATAGACTGCACAATAGCTTTCATAAAGGCTACCGGCCTTCTAATATAGGTTTTCCTAAAGAAGGATTGAAGAAGAAGAAGATAATCCAATCTATTGCCAGTAAAAATAGAACAGGGACAAAAGACAACCCTGTAACACACCTGTTTTTATTTCAGATATATCTGTTAGTTTTTCTTCATTAAGAACTCGACATTTCAGGTCTTTATATGTTGCCTTTACTAAGTTAATAATTGTCTGTGGAATTCCGTATCCCCATTAATTTCCACAAAGATTCCCTATCAGTAATGTCTATGAATCCAATTTAAAGTTTTGAATTTAATTCAATGCTTTGCTCTATTATCTGTTTGGCAGAAAACCTGCCTGTTCGTCTCTTATCTGTTTTATCAGTAGCATCTTTCAGTCTTTCTAAAAAATCCTACTTTATATTTTTCAAGGAAGTGACAGCAACATAACTCCTTTATAGTTTTCAAACTCCCTGTTGGTCAGCTTTTTTGTGGAGTTTTACAAGATATCCCTTTCTCCAGTCTGCTAGTATTTCTTTGGTCTCCCAAATTTTACTAAATAATTTACGTAGCAATTCTGTTGATGTGTTTATATTGTGAAAATATAATAACTTCTGCAGGGATATCATCTGGACCTGCCGCCTTTCCTTTCGTCAGAATATTCATAGCTTTCCTAATTTCCCCTTTAGACTGTATCTCACAGTTGATATTCACTTCCCTTTCTAAAGGCTGGCTATCTGGAGAAACCTCTGGGGCTGGTCTATTCAGAAGTATTTCAAAATATTTCGCCCATTTGTCCATTTGATTTTTAGTGTTGGTGAGCACCTTTCCTTGCAAATTTTGATTGATCCAGTTCGCTGACTATATTTACCTACTACTTTCTTTGTGTTACTATACAGGTCTCTGAAGTTTCCTTTTGTTGCTGCTGTCTCCGCTTCTTGCGCTACATCATCTAAATATTTCCTGTTATCTGCCCTCATTCAACTCCTAACTTCCTTATAAGCTTCTGTATATTCTTCTTAAACTCTAGCTTAAGCAGTTCTAGTTTTGTTATTGTTTAAGTCTTGGAGCACTTACTGTCATGTCCGATGTGCTATGAAATAAACTTTAAATGAACAATGGCATTATCCATGCTTTATGTTTCTGTTATTTCTTACAAAGGACTTCTACACAGGATTCATTTAAAAATCCTTTAAACTGGTCCCAGCAAATTTCAGTGCTTGTTTCTTCAGCTAATTGCAGCAACACCTGGTAATTATTAGAGACTGTAACTGAAAACTGTTCTTTAACTTCTTTATCCCTGAGATATCCTACATTATACTGATTTCTCTGATTATAAACATTTTTTACCCTTTGAGTTTAAACTACTGAACCTAGAACACTCATACAGTTAGACTACTGAACCTAGACCACTCATACAGAAAAACCATTCAACCTAGACCACTCATACAGATAAACTATTCAACCTATACCACTCATACAGATAAAATACTGAACCTAGACCACTCATACAGATAAACCATTCAACCGAAACCACTCATACAGATAAACTACTGAACCTAGACCACTCATACAGATAAAATATTCAACCTAGACCACTCAAACAGATAAACTATTCAACCTAGACCACTCATACAGAAAAACTACTGAACCTAGACCACTCATACAGATAAACTACTGAACCTAGAACACTCATACAGATAAAATACTGAACCTAGACCACTCATACAGATAAACCATTCAACCTAAACCACTCATACAGATAAACTACTGAACCTAGACCACTCATACAGATAAAATATTCAACCTAGACCACTCAAACAGATAAACTATTCAACCTAGACCACTCATACAGAAAAACTACTGAACCTAGACCACTCATACAGAAAAACTACTGAACCTAGAACACTCATACAGATAAAATACTGAACCTAGACCACTCATACAGATAAACCATTCAACCTAGACCACTCATACAGATAAACCATTCAACCTAAACCACTCACACAGATAAACTATTCAACCTGGACCACTCATACAGATAAAATATTCAACCTAGACCACTCAAACAGATAAACTATTCAACCTAGACCACTCATACAGAAAAACTACTGAACCTAGACCACTCATACAGATAAACTACTGAACCTAGACCACTCATTCATAAAAACTACTGAACCTAGGCCACTCATACAGATAAACTATTCAACCTAGACCACTCATACAGATAAACTACTGAACCTAGACCACTCATACAGATAAACTATTCAACCTAGACCACTCATGCAGATAAACTACTGTACCTAGACCACTTATACAGATAAACTATTCAACCTAGACCACTCATACAGATAAACTGTTTAACCTAGACCACTCATGCAGATAAACTACTGAACCTAGACCACTCATACAGATAAACTATTCAACCTAGACCACTCATACAGATAAACTACTGAACCTGGACCACTCATACAGATAAACTATTCAACCTAGACCACTCATGCAGATAAACTACTGAACCTAGACCACTCATACAGATAAACTACTGAACCTAAACCACTCATACAGATAAACTATTCAACCTAGACCACTCATACAAACTACAGAACTTAGACCACTCATACAGATAAACTACTGAACCTAGACCACTCATACAGATATACTGAACATAAACCACTTATAAAGATTAACTATTTAACCTAGACCACTCATACAGATTAACTATTTAACCTAGACCACTCACACAGATTAATTATTTAACCTAGACCACTCATACAGATAAACTACTGAACTTAGACCACTCATACAAACTACAGAACCTAGACCACTCATACAGATAAACAACTGAACCTAGACCACTCATTCAGATAAACTACTGAACGTAGACCACTCATACAGAATAACTATTTAACCTAGACCACTCATACAGAATAACTATTTAACCTAGACCACTCATACAGAATAACTATTTAACCTAGACAATAATACAGATTAACTACAAATACCATGACCTACCGTGAGCTTCAATATATGTTAGAAGGCTGGGGTCAGCCTGGGATTTGCTCCAGACCTCTTGTAGAAGTTTTGTCTGCTGCTCCTCAGATGGTTTTGACATGGGCGTTACAGTTCCACCATCTTGATTACAGCCAGTTTCTATTGTAGCCCAGATTTTGTTCTTGTGCTCTAGGGCCTACATCACAGAGTAACATATGGAGTTATGTCATTCTATATGTGTCTGATACATCACAGAGTAACATATGGAGATCATGTCATTCTATATGTGTCTGCTACATCACAGAATAATATATGAAGACATGTCATTCTATATGTTTCTGATACATAGCAGAGTAATATATAGAGACATGTCATTCTATATGTGTCTGCTACATCACAGAATAACATATGGAGACATTTCATTCTATATATGTCTGTTAAATCACAAAGCAACATTTGGAGATATGTCATTCTTTATGTGTCTGCTAATCACATGTTATTCCATATGTGTCAGCTACATCACAGAATAACTTACTCAGACATATCATTCTATATGTGTCTGCTACATTATAGAGTAACATATGCTGACATGCTATTTTATATGTGTCAGCCACAGCACAGAGTAACATAGGGAGACATGTCATTCTATGTGTGTCTGCTACATCACAGAGTAAGGTCGTGGGTTCGCTCCCTGGCAGAGCCGGACATTTTTTTTTTTTAAATGACCTTTGCTCCCAGGTTGACCCAGCCTTGATTTGGTACCAGGTGCAGTCCCGGGAAGTAAAGACGACCGGCGTAATGCTGGCCACATCATCTTGTGCCGACTGATCTATAAAACTATAGGTCTAGCACTATATGCCCTATACGCCTAAAAGCATGGAAAAAGGTGCTTTACTTTACTTTTTACTTACATCACAGAGTAACATATGGAGACATGTAACTCTATATGTGTCCGCTACACTACAGAGTAACATATAAAGACATGTCCTTCTAAATGTGTTCTTCTACATCACACAGCAACATCATTCTGTTCTGTAGGCCCTAGTCTCTAGTTCTATCATTTTAGAATTGCATTTTGCAAGCTTCGGAATGTTTTGTGCTGTGTGCCATTTAACATACAGTGAAGCACAGAAATGAATCCTTCTTGTTCTTATCTAGTCCATTGTGCTTTTCAGCATCACATTTTGAAGAGCCATCCAGTGCTAGCTTTGATATGTGCTATGAATATGCTGATATTCATGGCCTAGGCTATTCTATATTTCCATGACCTACATCACCTGCACAGTCGATGTCTAGTTCTGCTTCTGTTGTGTTAAAGTGACAGGGCTCTTTGTGGTGCACTATCTGCTTGTAGTTATGATACATGTCTGAACCAACTGATCCGTTGCAAATGTATCCTCATAACTAAAATATAAAAAATAAATAGTCAATTTGTCAATCAAATAGTGCAGTTGACAGTTTGTGTCGCCACTGTTTCAGTCAAATTGTGCAATTCATTGTTTGTGTCTTTACTGTTTAATTTTTTTTTTAATGAAGTGCCTTCTCCACATTGAAGGTTACTACAGAGTACCTCTTGCTATCGTTTTAGAATAGTTGATAGTGAGCCCCCAATCTCATCCACAGCCTGACTCTCAATAACATTTTTTTTTAAACATTCACTATGGAGAATAAACCCCTATACTTAACTCTTTGAGTACCAAGGAACGCACCATAAGTTCATAGATTCCTACCTAGAAGCCCAATGAATGCATGATGCGCTAATTTTATTACTTTCTTTACTACCCCCTGGGACTGTGATGCTAAACCCCCTGGGACTCAAAGAGTTAAGAATCATAAAATTGCTAACTGCATTCGCTAATCTCTAAGCCCTAATGGACTCGACTGGTAATGTAAAATATTTGGTCAGTATTGAAAAGTCCCCCGTGCTGGTTTCTGGGGCCCTATTATAGAGAGGCAAGGAAACCAACAGTCTGCACACAAATGTGTCAGATCTGTAAAACGGATGCACACGCAAAACTCAGTTTCTGGAACAGGACTGCTGTCCAGAAGTGGATGAACAACCAGAACATTCCACCAGAGTTTACAGCTGGTGAACGCAAAGAAGAAGAAGAAGAAGTATTGAAAAGTGAGTGTCTGGAGGCCATTACAAATGAGGAATATTTGGTAACTTTGATTTCTATAGAAAGTAATGCAAAGAAAAATGAAGATAAAATAAGATATACTCACATCATGAAGTCGTTTGAGGATGACGACCCCACAACCCTCTCCACGTGTGTACCCATCCACCTGGTCGGAGAAGGCGAAACACTGGCCTTTGGGAGAAACCATCCGAGCTTTGCTGAGGTGGATGAATACATCTGGGGTGAGAATAGAGTTGGTTCCACCACAGATGACCATGTCACAGGCTCCTGCAAGATCCAGACAGTTTTACCTCTCAGTGGGGGCTATCAGTCAATGAGAAATGTTAGAAGTCAGGAGCATTGATCAGTACCATCAGTATTGGAACTCTGCGCATGCTGCTGAAGATGAGGACAGAGCACTCATAGAAATGCCCTGAGTGTTGTGATGTCAATTCTTGACTCAACTCAACTCAACAAAAGGTCAGAAGCATTCATGAGGCCAGAGAACTGGTGAAACCTCACAAGCCTTTTTCAGCAAGCCATGATCAGGATCAAGTTAAGCAAAGGACCTACATCATTTTGGGATGCTGATTTCAAGAAACACTAAACAAATGGATGAGTTACAAGAGCAGCAGTAAGAGAAGGGGAAAAAAATGATGGGGAAATGAGAGAACTGGATAGGTGGGATAAAGAAGAACAACATCAAGAACATAATCCACATATCATCATGTAGCAGGTCATTTGCAAAACGTCTCTCTCATCATGGTCCGAATGAAAGAAACTTGGTCTTTCACCAGCTCTCCCACCTCATGTACTTTCATACCCAAGAAGTCACTCATATCCTGTGCCCATCTTCATGTTGGTTGGCCCCTTTCCATCCTTCCTGGTACCATGGCATCTGCTATAATTGCTTTCATATCCGTCGTTGCGCTTGATATGACCAAAATATTTCAGCTCCTAAGACAGAATGCTGTTTATAAGCCAATCTTCCTTGTTGTTCAGATCTTTCAAGATGTCAGTATTTCTCCTCCTCCTTGCCCAAGATATTCTGAGAATCTGTCTATAGCATTTCAGCTCAAAAGCCCCATATTCTCTTTCTTAAGGACTAATTCCCATATACTGATTACAAAAATCATCTAAGAGATAAGAGACTTTGACTGCCAGCCTAAAGTGAATGTCAGGAAATACTAAGGGAAATAAAGTCCAGGCGTTATATTGACAACATCTTTCAGTGAGTATTGAATAAAAAAAGAGGTCCCATACCTTTAGCTCAGTGCAGTGTACCATGAGAAGGTTAATTCAAATCACTCTCCCTTTCAAATCTCTCTAGCGTAGTTGGCTAAACCGGATTGCGCGGTGAGCGGGTGATGAACTCCTTGTGGTCCGGGTTCACTCCTGGGGGTGGGCAGAAAAGCCACATTTCTCCCAGATTTACGGTATTTAAAATGGAATCAAGGCTGAAAGGTTGCGATATCCATAATACCGAGCCTAAGGGTTAACAACTTATGGCTTCTGGATTATGAAAGGGAGAGTGAAAGATTGGGAATGGTATGAAAGGGAGCTGCTAGCTACTCCAGTCACAGCGTAGTTGTCTGGGACAAACGAAGTGGAGTTGAATTCGCTCCGATAGTCTGTGTTCATGGCACCTGGAAACAAATGCGGGTCCATGTATTTAATCACATAACTGACAAGAAATACTGAAATACATATTCATGACCAGACATTCGACATAAGCAAAGACGGGAGCTAACTAATTTATTACTAAAAGAACATAAATCTAGAGTTATGCTCCATGATTTCACATGTTTCACCAGATATGAAAATGAAACCACTCACAGGCCGTAGATATTTTCATACTTATATCCCCTTACTATCACTTTTCCTGGAAAACTATGTTCATTCTATTGAATACTGTACGTATTGTTGCGCACGTAAAAACATCTCTTGGCAGTTGGAAATTGAAAAGAGTAGCCTAACGGCGCTGCCCGGACGATACTAAAAGTTTAAAATCTACCCAAAGTATTTCAGGATTCTTGGCGGTGCTACGGAGTTCGTGCAGTGCGCTGAAATACCTAGGACTCAGGCTTGGGTTAGAAGTGTAACAGAGCACTTATGGTCTAATACTCTTGTATTGATGATGTTGATCCGTGTTTCAAACCAATCAAAAAATGGCCATACTTATCTCCCCCTACTATCACATTCTCTGGAAATCTACATTCATTGTGTTTAACAACATTTATTATTCACTCGATCTATAAGAGTGTTGCTGGTGCTGGCATCATTCTGTGTGTCCAAGGGAAAGTTTTATATTGAACACTAAGGAGGCATGAGATTAACAGTCAATGACAACGGCGTGTGTGACGAGCCGGACCTACCCGTGATAAGAATAGTCTTCGACAATTACATCAGGAGATTGAATGACTGTTGCTGCTCTCACATGTATTAGTGTTGTTTCTTCCCGGACACATAGCTCTCTTTTTTCCTGCGATATTTTGTGTCCCTTTATTCTCATTCACTCCCTAATTTGCCATTTCCACGTAACATGGTTCATGGCATTTTGCTCCCACGAATTTACCTCGATACTTGTATCATTAATGTCTCGCTTGAACCTATGTTTTTATCGAAGCAGAGGCTTCTTTTGCAAGGGGCCCTGAATATAGCCAGGCCATAAATACGGCTTAGCCATAGATATGGTCTAACGGCTGGAAGGGATTTCTGGGACCTCTCCATGGGTGATCCTCATCTGCATAGTGGCACTTTGTGTCACCGGGTGTTTATCGCTTGTGTGATGTCCTGGTGGGGTACAACTACCTGCCTACCCTAATTGTACCGATCCATAACAATAGAGTACATCGCAAGGATCACGCGTAGGTGGGCACACACACACACACACACACACACACACACACACACACACACAAATCGGAAATCAAGCATGCATGAGGGTAGAAGGAAAAACCTACCTATAAACACGCTTGTGTTAGAGCCCTTGATCTGATCCCGGGTGATGCCGGCGTCCTCCAGGGCACGGTGACAACATTCCAGCACATACCTTTGTTGTGGGTCCATGATATCGGCCTCCACGTCTTTGATGTTGAACAGCTTGTTGTCGAAGGCCAGGTGGCTGCGGAGACAAGGTCAAGGAGATGAATCAATATAATTCAGCCAGGTCATCAGCAACGTGCAGTTGCCAGCTGTTTTCATGAGTTTCAGTTGTTCAGTAACATAACTTCCTTCTTCTTCTTCTGCTTCTTCTTCTTCTTTTTCTTCTTTTTTTCCTTTTTTAATTTTCTTCTTCGAATTATTCTTCTTGTTCTTTTTGTTGTTGTTGTTGTTGTTGTTGTTGTTGTTGTTCTTCTTCTTCTTCTTCTTCTTCTTCTTCTTCTTCTTCTTCTTCTTCTTCTTCTTCTTCTTCTTCTTCTTCTTCTTCTTCTTTCTAGTCATATATTGCCATTCGGCGTCAGGTTTTGAAGATGCATCGGGTGAATGTCTTGGTATATGCTATGCAGGTGTTTGCGGCATTGGATATTCTATCTATCTATGACCTACGTGGTCGACCTCTAGATCTATGTCCATCATGTCTCAGTGACAGGGCAACATAACTATAACCGTTTCATTACAGACAATCTGACCAGACGTGGTCAGTGAGGGCAACTTAATACAAAGTTACAAACGTGACCATATTGTCCCGTATGAGATCTAGATGCTAACGTGACTGCTATTTGTAAGATCAGGAATAAAGATCAGTGTTAAAATTAGGTTAAGGTCAGTGTTGAGATTGTCCACTTCATTGTACTGGAAGTGCTAAATGCAGGCATTACAGTGGCAATTACAGGCACTGAAGTGGTAAATGCAGGCGTTACAGTTGCAATAACAGGCACTGAAGTGGTAAATGCAGGCATTAAAGTGGCAATTACAGGCACTGAAGTGGTAAATTCAAGGAAAGCTTGTTTACCGATAAAGCATTATCGTTGCATGAGTGACACAGGGACAGACTCTACCACTTACTCTTTGAGTAGCCCAGCCTTCCTGGCATGAGTTTTAGCTGGAGTGTTGAAGTCTTCATCGTAAACAGCTTCATGGTGCCAACGGGTTGTCGGAATCTCAATCACGTGATTTTCACCGTTTTTTAGAAGTCTCCATAACTCCTCTAGGTTATCTGCTCCAGGGACCTTGCACCCGAGGCCGATAATGGCCACCTTGTCTCGGCCCTCTCGAGACATTGTCTCGTGCCTTTGTCTTTCTCCTCTTTAACAGTAAATGTTGCTAGTTCAAAGTCTTGAGACGCAAAGATGAGGTTATAATCAAATCTGAAAATTTGACACAAACAGTGACGTTTATAACATTCTGTTTGTAGAGACTCATACATGGTTGCTTTCGATAGATCTGCAGTATAGACACACGCCATTGATGTTTTAACGCTACCAATACCAGACAAACTTGTTTTCAACTCATTTTACCGGAATGATTTATTGTTCACGATAAAAAAATAAAATATTATCCGAACCATCTTGTAAACATTCAAGCTTGAAAACTGCGTATATTGTGCGCCTCACCATCATCATCGGGTGCGTTCATTGGTTACTTTCCCAAATGACCGTTACAATGACGTATACAATCTGTTTTCTTGCTACGTCCATGTAATCCTTCTTTTTTTTTTTCTTCTTTTTCTTCTTCTTCTTCTTCTTCTTCTTCTTCTTCTTCTTCTTCTTCTTCTTCTTCTTCTTCTTCTTCTTCTTCTTCTTCTTCTTCTTCTTCTTCTTCTTCTTCTTCTTCTTCTTCTTCTTCTTCTTCTTCTTCTTCTTCTTCTTCTTCTTCTTCTTCTTCTTCTTCTTCTTCTTCTTCTTCTTCTTCTTCTTCTTCTTCTTCTTCTTCTTCTTCTTCTTCTTCTTCTTAGCTTCGTAAATTCAATGACGTGTGGCTTTGAAAGGCATGTCTTTCCACAGCCTTCTGTCTAGTGTACTTTCAATCAGTTCTGATACAGATGATCTTCTATGCCACGATGTTAAACTGTCCAGCATCTTTTTTCTCAGTCTCCCGCTGTCCCTCCTCCCCTCCAAATGTCCTACTGTCACCATGTACTCCAGTTTCCTCCTTCTCATAAAATGACCAAAGAATGTAGATTGTTTCTTTCTGGTGTGGGCTATCAGTTCTCTTCGTGAGACAGTTTCTTTCAAGACATTTTCATGGGCAATTAGTTCTTTTGGTGAAACAGTTTCTTTCAAGACATTTTCATTACTCCTTTTTTTTTCTGCCTAGGGTATTGTCATTATTAGTGTGTAACACCTCTGCAGCTTTCAAAAAAAATTTTCACAAATCTACCAACTGTCCGCGACGCACTTCCGTATATATCCAAGGTGTTAAGTCATTGTCGCCAATTTGGTTAACAGCAAGTGTGTTTATCAGATCGACGTGTCCTACATATTACAAGTTTGTGTATAGGTAATGAGACACAGATGTGGCTCATTGTTCAGTGTAATCAACTGCTATGTTAATGTTCTTATTAAATACCCATTATTCCTGGAACCTTTGCCTTTTGCGTACTCGCATTGTTCTTGTCCTGTGTTTGATTATATTTCTGTCCTAACGTTTTGCGAGATCAAGATCTGTAAATTGGGTTGATGTGCTTATTGCTTAATATTAATCCTATAAAATATTCCTGAGTGTTTCCAGTATCATGCTGTGTCCAAATGTAACCAGGTGTTTTCTATTTTCATCTTTTGCAATGATCCTTTCGCTTGTAAAATTTCTATATCCGGTGTCCGGAACGTCCATCTTCAAAAATATTGTGGCCGGTACAATAGACAATATTAAATTGAGAATTATTTCTAAGACAACTGTTTAGAAGACTGTTTGCTTTTGGTCCACATCTTGGCAGTGTCTAAATTGGTCCCCTGACTGCAGTTAGTGGCATCATATTTTGATAGTATCACTACAGTGCTAATGGAAGCTTATGAAATTAGCCCCAAATTTACGAAGCTCCATCTGAAACCCTTCCAGTATTTGAGAGACAGTAAATTTCAGACAGGGTAAAACTATGTGGCTCTTATCTGGTTCCAGCACCTGTATAGTCACTTCAGTTAATCTGCATATTTACCTGTGGTAGCATGGTCAGCTAAACTTTGATGTGAACAAACAAACTTTTAGCGATCACTAATATTATTTTTGAAAATTCTTCGAATCGTGAACTTCATAAAATGCACAATTCGATGCAATAACCAGAATTAATCGGCGGCATATACTTACAATTACAACAACGCTTCCTTGAGGTATAGTGTAACATTGATTTATTTCCATCCTCAACGCTTTCAAAGCATCAAACTGGGAAGCAGCATGTATTGTACAGCCAGTTAACAGCACAAATAAAGTATTTATTCTCGTCAGTCTTAGGATTGAAGTTGTTTTCTTTTGATTTCTTCCAAATTAGGGCAGTCTGCAGCAAACGTGTCATATGACAGAAACGTTTCGCAGTTAACGGCATATGGAATTAACGACAACCAGCGCGGCTCTTCTGGACCGTATCAATCAAGTGCACTGTTGTAAGTCGATGATAATAGACATTTTGTTTGTGCCCTCACCTGTCATTGACATGTGATAAAATGACAAAAGATTGTTGTGTTTTGTATGCGGTAGCAACGAGTCTCAACATTTGATTGATATAACTGTATAAACGGACTGGTGGTCAACCGTGGACCCTTCCCCCTCATCCCTCCACCCCCCAACCCACATTGGACTGCATGTTACTTGTAACCCCTGGGGTGCCTTAATTCAAATGTGTAAAACATTCAACGAGGTTTCTGGAATTCGGAGTTTAATTCTCATCCTTGCTGTGTGAATCCTTCGGACAGCAATCATGAAGAGGAACAGCGACCACCATTGTGATATGCCAGTTAGTCCGTAGAGTGTTGCACATGTTGAAGCAGTTGTAACTGACAGACAGGCTACCGTAAGCAGCAGAGAAGTTCAGGTACTGTAACCACTTCCATTGGAAGACAATTTTCTATAGACAGTAGAGAACTTGACGTACAGAGTAACCATTACCATCTGCAGACGATTTTCTGTAGACAGTAAAGAAGTATACGTACTGTATCCACTGTATAGCAGAGAAGTTCGCGAATTGTTTCCACGATGATTGGAAGAATTTGAAGTAGACAAGAAGTCTCCACTATCATATAGAACTAGGCAAATAGGAAAAGTTCAAAGTTTGAACAACGAATCAACATCATGGCAGATATTTCTAACCCAACTCTCAGTCCGAAGAAGTTCAGCACAATGCACAAGTTGTATAGCACCTACGAGAATCCTGAAATACTTTGGGTAGATTTTTTACTCCAAATTGTGCCCAACGAAACCGATACAGTCGTTATTTGAGGCATATTGTTTGACCACATCGTCATCCCCCCCCCCCCCACCCCCCCCCCCCACACCCCTAACTGGAGCCCTTGTAAACAGCGGTATCGGTTCGGTGGTTCGTATCCGTTTGCTCGTGTTCTTAGCAGATCACTGCACACATTCAACCGTATACCATCAAACAACAAACAGAAAAGCATACAAACACAGGCTCAGGAAAAAACCGAAGAGTATCTTTAACAACTGAAACACTGGTAAAGATACTGCACTATACTACTGCAATAGAAAACAACTACTACTGCTGCTGTTACTACTGCTTCTGCTACTGCTGTCGCTATTGCTGCTGCTACTACTATAACAACTTCTAGTACTGCTACTGCTGCTGCTGCTATCACTACTATTTCTACTACTGCTGCTTCTCCTGAAACACTGTTAAAGTTACTACACAATGACTATTACTGCAATAATAACAACAACTACTCCTGCTGCTGCTGCTACTATTGTTTCATTACTGTTACTGCTGCTACTGCTACTACTACGCATACTATTACTGCTGCTACTGTTACTGCTGCTGCTCCTGTCGCTGCTATTACTACTGTTACTACTGCTACAATTACTGCTACTGCTGCTACTACTATCATTATTTTTTCTAATACTGCTGCTGCTGCTGATTCTACTACTACTACTACTACTACTACTACTACTACTACTACTACTACTACTACTACTACTACTACTACTACTACTACTACTACTACTACTACTACTACTACTACTACTACTACTACCAAATTTAGGTGCATTTTTTTACAGTATATCTGGGCATTAACTCTTTGAGTCCCAGATGGTTTAGCATCACAGGCCCAGGGGGTAGTAAAGAGAGTCATATAATCGGCGCATCATGAGTTCATTAGGCTTCTAGGTACGAACCTATGAACGTATGATGCGTTCCTTGGGACTCAAAGAATTAAAACAACAATTGTTGGCAGTTTGTAGGTTTTTGAATGTTTACATTAAGCGGTTGGCCCTTCCCCATTGTGTGGTCTCCACACTGTCGAAAGAAACTCACATCAATCCTCTACCAAATTGTCTGCATCTACACTGAACCTAGTATTCTGGAATTATGGAACGCCACTCTTTATTCACATACGACAGACACCCAGTTTTCTGCTGCTAGTAAATACTATTATACCAACACTATTAATAGTGTTAGTAATAATAATTAACACTTTACAACAGCAAACGTAAATAGTTATGTTATCAAAACGTTTACTATCACCACAGTTGACGACACATTGAACAGCAACAACAACAGCAACTACTACTACTACTACTACTACTACTACTACTACTACTACTACTATACTACTACTACTACTACTACTACTATACTACTACTACTACTACTACTACTACTACTACTACTACTACTACTACTACTACTACTACTACTACTACTACTACTTCTACTACTACAACTACTATACTACTATTACTATTTCTAGTACTTCTACGTCTTCTACTACTATACTACTACTACTACTGCTGCTGCTGCTGCTGCTACTACTACTACTACTACCACCACCACCACCACTACTGCCACTATTTTACTACTACTACTACTACTACTACTACTACTACTACTACTACTACTACTACTACTACTACTACTACTACTACTACTTCTATAATTATACACTACTATTTCTATTACTATTACTATACTACTACTACTACTACTACTACTACTACTACTACTACTACTACTACTACTACTACTACTACTACTACTACTACTACTACTACTACTACTTCTTCTAATACTACTACTATACTACTACTACTACTACTTCTATAATTATACACTACTATTTCTATTACTATTACTATACTACTACTACTACTACTACTACTACTACTACTACTACTACTACTACTACTACTACTACTACTACTACTACTACTACTACTACTACTACTACTACTACTTCTAATACTACTACTATACTACTACTACTACTACTACTATACTACTACTACTACTACTACTACTACTACTACTACTACTAGTACTACTACTACTACTGTTACACAACCTTAATTATCACTGTAGTTACAAGAACATAGTAATCACAAATACCTATATATATGCAACGGCAAATTTAAAGCGAATTAATTATTTTTCTGCATCTTCACTTCCTCTTTTACAATTTCGGGTGTCGAGGGAGATGATTATATTTTTTTTTTTATAAACAGAGGTTTTTAAGGGGTCACTACACAACATTTTTTTCAATCTATGATAAAAATATCACTTTTTCAATGTGTTCGTTTTTGTAAAGTTCGGCATTCGTAGAATAGATTACAAACAAAATTTATGTCGTTTGTAAACAATTTGGCATTGAAAAGTTAATACTAAAGACACCAACTCATGCACTTTTTGAAGAAAAAAAAAAAAAAATTTAAAAGTCCATCCTTCCACATTCTTATATTTATGTTTGTTGTGCGTGTAAAATCTTATCATGTGTCTCCTGTTTCCTGTCCATTTTAGGATGTAATTTTTCGTTATTTGAAAACCGTTATCACGTGTCTCCTGTTTCCCGTCCATTTTAGGATGGAATTTTTCGTTATTTGAAGCCCTACTCTGGCTCTTGCCAGGGGCCGCAATATAGGCTGACCATAAATATGGCCTAAAGGCTGAACACGGTTTCTGGGACCTCTCCAAGGTGATCCTCACTCACATGGTGGAACATTGTATCATTGGGTGTTTATCGCTTGTGTGATGTCCTGGGGGGTAGAAAGTTATTCAGTCCTAAAATCTCAGCTAATATAAAGATTAGAAATGTGAAATTTAGTATAGATACTCCTTAAACAAAATTATAGAGACTGTTCTTTTTAAAAGTAGATTTCAGAAAGTTTTTTTTTTTTTTTTTTTTTTTCTTAAACTTTGATTATTGTCTTATAATGCAAGATTTTGTTTGACCTTTTCAATAAACCTACATTTTAAAATTCTACGAAAAATATTTAAAATCATGTTTACAGTAAATAAACTACACCTGTAGCTCTAATTATGATCAAAGGTCATGAATCTATCATTTATAGTTTATTATGTATGTTTGTTTTTGAAATTTTAGGATTCTAAGTACATGTTGGTTTTTCCCTAAGATGGCGGCTATTGCCATGACAACCATGATTTTTTTAACACTTAAAGTATGCAAATGTAATTATATGTATCTCTTAAAATGTCCATTATAAAATAATTGCTCTAACAAAGTAAATTAAAAAAAAAAAAAATTGGTGTAGTGACCCCTTAAAAGTTTAAGGTTTTCAGGTTTTGAACAACCGATCAACATCATGGCACACAGATAGTAACTCATAAGTGCTTCGTTTTCTCCTAACTCAAGTCTGAGTCTCAAAAAGCTCAGCACATTGCACAGGCTCTGTAGCACCGGCGAGGATCCTGAAATGCTTTAGGTAGATTTTTAATTACACATTTTCCCCGGGCATTAGGCTACTCTTTTCGATTTCCAACTGCCAGGGCATTTTTTACCTGCGCAACAATTCACACGGGCGTCCGATTTCACTAACCAGAGACCAGGGGGAATTAATAAAAGACGAAGTCCATGTGAAAAAAATCCCAGCCTTTACGGGGATTCAACCCGGAACGTCTAGCATTCGACGCGCAAACTATGCTTCGAGACAACCCAGCCCCCTGGGATAAACAAAGTTAGTTCATTTAAGGTCCGGTTCGAAAGAATCGACTTAATTGAAACTGGTTATCCCATAAGCTGTAAAATCTCTCTCTTTTCGCAGAAGGGATGGCCGACTGCCGAGAACACTGCACAACGCACGAATTTCGTAGCTCTAGGAACGATCCCCAGGAATCTCTGTAGGAACCGGACTCGTGAAATGAACACAAAGTTTCAGATCGCTAGGCAAACGGCATGACCACTTCGACACAGAAACACACCCTCGCCGCACACACACACACACACACACACACACACACACACACACACTTTTAAAGTATGAACAATATAGCAACATAAAACAAATAACCACAACAGAATAAACACATAGTGGTGCAGGTTCAGTTAAAAGGATACACTCAACCTTCAAGACGAGCAGCAACTGCCTGCAGAATGACCTACAGGTCTATTTATGCAGCTGGCCAATCCGTGGCCTGGGTTTTCGGTTGTCGCCGACCCCAATGGCAGCAAATGCCAGAATCGGGGATTCCCCACCTACTTTTCAGGAAACAGGCGCTTTGACATAACATCACATCTATTTCTGCAGCAGCCAGAATACATACAGTTTGTCGTACCGAGGATTTCCTAGAAATCTAGATTGTGTATTTTGTGAACTGCCATTACTTTCGTTTTTAACTGCATATTTCAAGCGAATTCATTCTTCTTCATCATCTTCATTTCCTCTTTTACCATTTCGGGTGTTGAGGGAGATAATACGGTTTTTTTTTTTTTAATAAACAGACGTTATTAAAAGTTTAAATTTTTAAGGTTTTGAACAACGGATCAACATCATAGCACACGGGTAGTAACTGATAAGTGCTCCGTTTTCTTCTAACTCAAGTCTGAGTCTCAAAAAGCTCAGCACAGTGCACAGTCTCTGTAGCACCGGCAAGGATCCTGAAATGCTTTAGGTAAATTTTTAATTACACATTTTTCCAGGGCAGCGCCTTTAGGCTACTCTTTTTGATGTCCAACTTCCAAGGCATTTTTTACGTGCGCAGCAATTCACACGGGCGTCCGATTTTACTAACCAGAGAGCCCGGCTCTCTAGCGTAGTTGGCAAAACCGGATTGCGCAGAGACCTGGTGACGAACTCCTTGTGGTCTGGGTTTAATCCCGGGGGTAGGCAGGAAAGCCACATTTCTCCCAGATTTACGGTATTTACAGTTGAATCAAGGCCGAAAGGTTGCGATATCCAAAATACCTAGCCTAAGGGTAAACAACTCATGGCTTCTGGATACTAAAACAAACAAACAAACACTAACCAGAGACCAAGGGCAATTTCTAGAAGTCCATGTGATAAAAAAATCCCAGCCCTTACGGGGATTCAACCCGGAACCTCTAGCACTCGACGCGCAAACTATGCCTCGAGACCACCCAGCCCACTGGGATAATAAAAGTTAGCTCATTCAAGGTCCGGTTCGAGAGAATCGACTTAATTGAAACTGGTTATCCCATAAGCTGTAAAATCTCTCTTTTCGCAAAAGGGCTGGCCAACTGCCGAGAACACTGCACAACGCACGAACTTCGTAGCTCTAGGAACGACCCCCAGGAATCTCTGTACGAACCGGACTCGTGAAATGAACACAAACTTTCAGATCGCTAGGCGAACGGCATGACTACTTCGCCACAGAAACACACCCTCGCCACACACACACACACACACACACACACACATTTGTAAAGCGTAATTTCAACCGGAAGCTCGCATTAATTATGAACATTATAACAACATAAAACAAATAACCACAACAAAATAAATACATAGCGGTGAAGGTTCAGTTAAAAGGATACACTCAACCTTCAAGACGAGCAGCAACTGCCAACAGACTGACCAACAGGTCTATTTATACAGCTGGCCAATCCGTGGCCTGGGTTTTCGGTTGTCGCCGACCCCAATGTCAGCAAATGGCCAGAATCGGGGATTCCCCGCCAACTTTTCAAGAAAAGGGCACTTTGTCATAACATCACATCTATGTCTGCAGCAGTAAGAATACGTAGTTTGTCGTACAGAGAATTTCCTAGAAATCTGGATTGTGTTTCTGTGAACTACCATTACTTTCGTTTTCTGCCCACTCAACGTGAGCCACACAGGAAAAAGCTGCCTGTGATGTATGAAAGGACAGAACATAACACGGTGTGTGCATGTTTGTGGGTGTGTGTGTGTGTTGTGTGTGTGTGTGTGTGTGTGCATATTTGTGTGTGTGTGTGTGCAGGCGTTTGGAAGGAAAATGAGGGGGGGGGGATATGTAACGTATAATGTCACAAAATGATGATACTGATGATGCTGATGATTACCATGAGGATGTTAGCGATGATTATTTTCATGATTATGATGATAACGATGATAAGGATGAGGATTATGATGATAAAGATGAAGATGCATGAAGAACTGAGTGGTAACACGACACCAGGAAAATAACTACACATGAGTTTATTATAAATAAACTATTAGAAAACGTATCTGTGTAAGTACAGCCGTGGAAAGATATACCATTCATTAGCGAAAACTCATATGCAAAGATAAACGCACAGTAGGAACACACACCACACACACGTACACACCAATACTCACTCACTCACTTACTCACACACACACACTCTCACACGCGCGCGCGATACACACAAAAACCACAACACAATTACTCAAATACACACATTTTCACAGACACACCACACACACACACATGTTACACACACAACTCACACACACCCATACTATCTTAGCTACACATCTTTTCACACTCACACACAACTGACACAAAAACTTACACTTTCTCAGTTATAAACATCTTCACAAACACACACAAACACACACACCATACACGAATATATATATGTATGTTTATATATATATATATATATATATATATATATATATATATATATATATATATATATATATATATATATATATTTGGCATCTTTCCGTCTTTCCAGACGATAGTGTTATACTTCGCTATGAGAAGGTATGAGACTCACAGTCCATGGCGATGGCGAATGTGACTAGCAAGACCCGCCTGTGTTAAGAATATATATATATATATATATATATATATATATATATATATATATATATATATATATATATATATATATATATAGAGAGAGAGAGAGCAAGAGAGAGAGAGAGAGAGAGAGAGAGTCAAATTGAATTTCCGAAAATCAAATAAATGTTCGAAATATACGCATGTTTTTAAGTATGGGTAATTTGCTGTCTGAGCATCATTAGTCATTACCATCATCAACCTGATGTGCCTTGTTGACTGGAGTGGGCGGTCATACCTTTCCACCGCCTACGATCGCCAACAGAATATAACATTTCAAGGGCTGTGCCCTTTGATGGCATCAAGACTGCAGGAGTCCTTCTTTACTCTTTTGGCGGAGTGCAATATTGAGCTATTTAACTCTGTGAGTCCCAAGGAACACATCATACGTTTATAGATTCCTACCTAGAGGCCCAATGAACGCATAATGCGCCGATTTTACGTCTCTCGTGACTACCCCTTGGGTCTGTGATGCTAAATTCCCGGGTCTCAAAGAGTTAATATGGCGCACATAACCTAGTCACAATTATTACCTAAAGCTCCCCCTTCGAAGATGCTGGTTAAACTTGACGGGTTTGTTTTTCTCCAAAGCAAAAGTAACTCTGCGTGTAGCATGTTGACATGTGTTTACCGCACTCAGTATCATAATGTAGTCCAGGGCTTTTCAACTAAGTTGGCTCAGGGGCCAAAATATTCAAAAAGGGGCATCGTCATGGGCCAGAGGCCTCAGCCCCAGCATAGAAAAATCTAAAATACAATACAGCTAGAAGTCATCCGTGGACCATTTGCTAGGCCTTGGCGGGCCAGATTTGGCCCGCGTGCCGCCAGTTGAATAGCCCTGAATTGTAGTCTTTCTATATTTGTTTCGAATGTTGACCTTTCCTTCTACAATCCGATGGTCCCTTGATCTGTATACCGTGCATGTGTGTGTTTTTTAAATTAAAATTTACAATTTCTACTTATGTTTGCTCAAAGCTAAGCCACACATTTTATTGTAGTGCAGCTGTGTTGATTTTTAGGGGCCGTGTTGACTGGGAGCTTGATTCGAAGTCGGAATGTATTTGCCTGAGAAGCAAGGAACCAACAGTCTGCATACAGATTTGTCAGACCTGTAAAACAGATGTACACGCAGCATTCAGCTTCTGGAACAAAACTAAAGTCCAGAGGTGGACGAACTCCACTTTCAGCTGGAGTAAACAGGAAGAGAAAGAATAAGAATAGACTTTGATCACAGCGTGTGGAGAGGAATAGTGTGTTTGGGGGAAGGGGGGGGGGGTGTGCCGCAGAGGTGTTCAGCCCCTAAAATGTAATATGCTGTTGGTGAAAAAGTATTCCCCCCTCCCCCTTTCCACTCCAGTCGGCAAGGCACATACAGTTGATGATGGCAATCACAAATGGAGCCTAGACAGCCAATTACCCATACAAAAAAACAAGTATATATTTCGAACATAGTCAGTGGGTAAGTTTCACCCCACTTAAACATCCCACAGGGCAATAAACATCCGATGACACAAAATGAGAGGTCACGGAAACCCCGTTCAATCGTTAGGTTATATTAGAGTCCGACAATTGCGAGGGAGGGGCTTCAAAATAACGAAAAATTGCTACCCACATGGGGACGACGTTCATTATTACGAACATTTATTACATTTGTTTACAAAGTTACCGCTGTGGCAAGAAAATCGGAAATTGACATTGACTGGCATGTCGACCCAGTCTAAGAAACCATTGAAGTCCCTGGAAAAAAATATAACCCGCGTGTTGTTGACTACACCACCCAAAATGGCTGATTGGTCTAACAAATATAGGTCTTTCCTTGAATGCCATACGCGTGAATAGTGTCATTGCCTATTATCTGATATCAGAAAAACAACAATTATCGTTAAATGCGTTCTTCAAGGCGGATGAAAGAAAAATCTCCGACTATAGTTCGTTACAAAACTCATGCCCTCATACTTTTGCCGCGTTAGAGCAATCGATAGGAGACATGCTTTCAAATCCAGCTGCGACTTACTGCAGCCCACGGTCGGTGTTCGAAACAGGGCGGTTTCAGGGGTTTACCCAGCCTTAAAACTCTAGGGTAAAATGAGGAACGTCGCTGTAGCTACTGAGTTCCGTGCCGATGGCGACACAGGCGGACAGTTTCTTTTCAGCTGTCCGTACTGGTGCCAGAGCACTTATGGTTTATAACAGTGTGCAATGACGCTGGTTCACATCTCCCAACTGTACCTTTCTGTTCTGTTAGTTGCGTATCCTTCACAGGACGTTGCAGAACCAACACCAGCAGCTGCTGGCTGTGGTGTGGTTTCACTAGGCAAATTTACTTCCAGTAGTTTGCCATTGCTTCTGGACTGCCGGCCCCCGTATACCACTGTCAAAACAGCGCTTGACACATGGCCGCAGCAGGGATCGAACTCGGCACCTCGGCATTACGAAGCGTTCGCATCGACCTAGCAACAGAGCCGACACTGTACCTTTACATTTATTGAAATAAATAAATACATGGAAAGACCATGAAAACAACAAGCATATGGCCTTTTATTTTCCACCATCTTTTGATTTATTTTTTATAATTGCATATGGGCTGCTTTTTTTTTTTATAAGGGGCGATTAAAAAATAATCTTTAAATAATAATTTATGAAACCCCTAAATATTTGAATACACAGTAATCGATGCATGTGTCGATATTGTTTCAAAATAGAGTCATATGTGCAGCAATGTGTAGTGATTATTTGTTTAGCCTATCCCGCATCGGCGTAATGCTGACCACATTACCATCGATGGTCTGTAAAAATATGGGTGCTCTTCCCATATGCCAGATACGCCTAAAGGCGTGGAAAGGGATCTTTACTTTTTTTACTATCCCACATACTATAAAAAATCCCCACCTCACGGGAGACTAATGCTAGAGATGACCATCTGCGTATGAAACGTCTATGGGTTCTTTATTAACATCCTAACACAAAATGACGCCAGAGGACAGACCAGCATTCTAGAGGGTGGTAAGACTGGGTTTCCCGGCTTTCTGACGCTTTTAACGACCCCAAAACCACTAGAAATGGTCCTGAGACCAACCCAACTACGTCTCAGAGAGAGAGAGAGAGAGAGAGAGAGAGAGAGAGAGAGAGAGAGAGTGCAGCCTAGATCCCACGACTGCGTGGAGCCTAGATCCCACAGCTGCATGCAGCCTATTTACCACCCCCGAAATATTAGACTTTCCTGTGATCTGCGGATTTCCACTGTTTGGGGTAGGATATTAATAAAGCACCCACATATGAAGCGCGCTTAATCCGTTGTTTCGAAAAATCCCCATGACTTAGTTTAATCATGCTACTGTAAGCAATTTCATTTTTTAAAAGCGGTGTCTGTTTTTTTTTTATACATACACACAAAAAAAGGAAAATGAATGATTTAGTTCAACGTTAGTGTCCCCAAACAAATTAGGTCACCTTCCATTTATAATTTTGTTGGACTGGTCTGCATTCCGGGAAAAAAAGGGGGAGGGGCGAGGGTGTTTACGGGTGTGCCGCTCTATTGTTTGCTTTCTGGCTTGTCTAGAATTTACGTTTTTCTTCCTAGAAAGAGAATGCCTGTGATATGGGCTGCAAGAAGGGAGGGGGGGGGGGGGGGGGTGTGTTAGACCGAGAATGCCTGTGATATGGG